GTTGAATCTGTGCTCGGTCTCGTGGGTTTTTAAAAAGGACAATATAGTTAGCGTTTAAAGATATATCACGCTGACCTCGTCCCTGATGAAAAATATTTTGAGTAATGAAGAATACACTTAAGTTTTTATGATGACAACCTTTTGTAAAAATATCAACTATCTGCTCATTAGATTCCCGCATCATGTCGTTTATAATTATTAGTATGGGATGGTAAAATTTCGAATATCACGCCTAGTACTGTAGCGGATCTTCTTGGTTCACATTGCATATATAATCATCTCTCCACAAAATTAGTAGCATTAGCGATACACGACTTAGTAAATAGTTCACTCGAGCGTTTAGATTGTAGTTTTACCTGGGATGACTGTATGCCTTAAATTAAAGCATAGAAAATTGTATGAAGAGTAAATAAAAACAGATTGTATAACATAAATTATTGACTTTATTCCATTATCCTTATTCTTCAAAGTATTTAACTCCCCAATCTTCAAAAGGTCCTGTTGCAGAATGTATTTTCATTGCGAATAAGAAATGCAAATCAAAAATATCAAATGCCCAGGGAGCGCTTGTACATCCTTCGTACCACAACCAGGCCACCCTTTCCCTTTTTTCGATTCTTCGCATACGCACATCACGCACCGTTTTCCAATATTCTTTTCCTGTCTCGAGAGGGCCATGTTTATTGCATCTTGCGGTTCTCCTCATGATGAAAGTTTATCTTTATTCACTCTGCAGACAGTTTTACAAAGCGTTTACAAACCTAATTTATTTTATGACCCATATCTTAAAGTGAATCCTAAATTTTACTTAGGTAGCTGGCCTTATTATTGTGTGTTAAAATTCTTTGTCTACGAAACACGTGGTCGTCTAGGAGCGTCAGATTGTCTGGCTGAAATGTGAAGGCTCCAAAAATCCTAGCTAATCGTTGCAGTTCTTCTCCAAGATTTCAGAAAATTTTCGTTGCTCAAAAATGTCTTCGCGATTGGACGGCGCCTCTTTTTTTTTTTGTGCAACGAAAATTTTCTGAAACTGGAGAAGAACATCATGGGGTTTAACATTTTAGACAAAAGATTTATGATTTAGACGATTTCTGGTTTCAAAATTCAAAGGAAATTTTCCCATACGAAAACAAATTGTGGGTTAAAATTCTTGTGTACGAAACACGTGGTCGTCTATCATTTTTTTTCATACCTGCGAAAATTAGAAGACATTTTCCAACGCTTAAATGGCCATACTTTTTTCATCACCAAAGCCGTAAAATTACCTTGAAGAACTTAACACCGTCAATTTGTTTTCGTGTGGTAAAATTCTTTGTCTACGAAACACGTGGTCGTCTAGGAGCGTCAGATTGTTTGGCTGAAATGTCAAGACTCCAGAAATCCTAGCCATTCGCTGCAGTTCTTCTCCAAGATTTCAGAAAATTTTCGTTGCACAAAAAATGTCTCAGCGACTGGACGGCGCCTTTTTTATCAAGATGTCGGCTTGTCTTTTAATTTTCCTTTTTACTTTCCGACATATCGTTTTGTCTGAGTTTTACTTTTGCCGCTTAGTTTTCATACAGAAAAATTACCACTTCCCATTTTTGAAAAATTTCAGTCGTAAAACTTTTGGTGCGTCGAGTTTGAAACGAAAAAATTTCATTCGCTAAATTTTTGGGACGTCGAGTTTAAAACGAAAAATTTCATTCGCTAAATTTTTGGGACTCACCCCCACCCCCACTTAACCACGCCCCCAGGTCTCGCTATAACGGATCTATTACTACTCATATGTATGTTGCCGGGAGTGAGACTCGAACCTGCGTTCACCGGAATGCTCGAGGTGAGGAATGTGACACTCTACCCACGGAGCCACCAACCCAATTTATAAATTTTATTTCGATTAAGGATTATGATTGTCAATGATCATATATAAAAATATATGGATATTAAAATTTATTATTGCCAAAAGCAATTTTCTGAATTTATGCAAGCATAACTTTCATAGATTACAAAGAAAAGTACCATATTATTATAATATTATTGAAAGCTGCATCAATTCACTGTTCATTAGTATCACAACTTACTATCACCAGCAACGACTCACATACGAATTAACAATGCGACAAATAATATGGTGTAGTTAACTCCTATAAACCCGAAACCACTGATTTGGCAGTGGATTACATCTGAAATCACTATTTCTTTAGTAAATTTTAAAACAACTAAAACAATCACCGAAGTTTTCCTTGATTCATTTGTAGAAAGTACTGAATACCAAATACATTTTTTTTCTTTTTGCAAATTATTTCAGTTGATCATCAACTCATAAGCACATTAATTTCACTAAAACGGACTCATAGACCGACTATATACTTGGCCTCAATAATATGATATCAATACTTTTTATTAGAGGAATTCACAGCACTCCTGTACTTGGCGTAGTTTTTTACACGTAAGTGTTTTTTGGGGGATTTCACTGAAACGGACTCATAGACCGACTATGTGACATTAAACAAATTCTGTAATGTTTCCTAACATCCTACTTTGGTAGATATGTTGTCCCTATTCCTGCAGAGACCACGGACAATGAAAAGTTTGTCTGTAGAAAACAATAGGCTCCGCCAAAAGATGCCTTATTTCCATATTCTTATATATTGTATGCATACTTTCTAAGAAAGTTTACCTTTGAAGATATTAATTAGTTCTTTTGTTCTTATCTTTCGCTAGAAGAGTTTCGCACATTTTTATTATTGTATTTTTATAAATTATAAAATTTTTCAACGAATCTTATGTGTATGAGCGTGGTGTGAGATTGAGTGCGAATTGATGAGTCTATTATAGAATTTGGCATGAGTGAAAACTGAAAATATTAATGTTAAATGAAATCACAACGAAGTAACAATATATGTCTGACTAATATTATATTAATGGTATATCTATTTATTGAATAAGAATAAGAACAAATATAGAAAGAAAAGTTATAATGTGGAATATAGGAATGAAGAAATTATGATCTAAAGAATGTAGCAAATAGAAAAGAGAGGTAAGAAAAGCATTTCAAAAGTAAAAAAACGGCAAAGAAAATAAAGAAAATAAGACTACTTCGTCTTCGGTACTAGTCCAAATAATATGGACTATCGATACCGATGGTACAAAATGGAAGGTGAAGTACAGCCTCTTTGACGCTGTCCTTTTGGATGACCCTCCTTACTCGTTTTCGGGTAGGGTCGAATATAGGGTGGAGTCATCAGGTCGGCACGGCAGCTCGAATATGTAGGTAGGTCATTCAACCAATCCGTTTCTTTTAAATTTTAGGCTTGTTTTTATTAAAAGAGATTATCTATCTTGCTACATACGGTTATGTAAGCTACCAAACTGGGTTAAGTTCGAGAGTGCTTGTTGTATTTATTCCAATCTGTGATCTTAACCTTGCCCTTCATGGAGGTGGTGATCATGGATTTATCGAACCAATCATATGGCTTGCCGCGAGATGCGGTTTGCCAATGATCGTCCTAATTTGTGTAAGGCATGGTTCCTATTGGGCATATAGCTAAGCTAGCATAATGCTATCCGCCAATACCGTACAGACAACCGGTATTTGGAGGAGATATGGTTCGCAATGCAATATTGGTCACCAATCCCACTTTTAGGAAGAGATTCAGTATGGCGTGGAAAACGTTGTTGTCCGCCAGTGTCGTCCTGTAATTCAATGGTTTTTTGGGTCAAAAAGGCGTGTACCGCTAATGGTGAAGCTATCCACCCGCTAACAGGACACCTTTAGTTAGTATGATGTGGGAGACTTAAGGGGCAATGTGGTCGGGTGGATTTCCAAGGCCCGTAACCCTTTTTATTCCTCTCGTCCCTGTTTTAGCTGGTGGGTATCGTTTGGAGGCGCTATGACTTCAACGAATCCTTCCAAATTATCCAGGGAGAATCAGTACTCCTTTACTTTTTCTTTTCTGAATCCTTAATTTCTCTTTCGAACTTCATCGTAGGAGGTGTAGTATCTGAATGAATTTTGTTGCCGTTCCGCTGG